TTTCAAAAAACTGATTTAGAGATCACCATGTAACTGAAACACTACTATTGATGTTTACATACTTATTTATTATTACACACCTCATTCTTCTAGGACTTCTAAATATAAGTGCAAGGTAACTTTTCTGAGAACTTACTGAAAATATGCACAAATAATTCTATAATACAGTCTTCAACCCCCCCCCAAACCCTCTAAAGAACTGCAGTTATTTAAATTAATTTTGAGGTTTTCATGGGCTCTATTCTCGGAATTTTTCTAATGGTTTTATTTTTATGAAATCATTTTGCCATGGTTAATCAAGTCATAATTCTACACATATATATTTGTACAAACACAAAATATAATACATACAGCAGTAAGTAGGTAAGTAGGTAGGTAGGTATGCAGGTAGGTAGGTAGACAGGTGATAGGTAATTTTAAAATTTTGTTACAGAAGTGTTCTCCTAGGATATTTGTCTTTTTTGAGATTTAATAGATGAACTCTCCAAGCTGCAATTTTCCTTTCCAACATATTGCCCCTAGGGTTCCTCACTTAGAGATTAAGACAAATTGCAACCCTAACAGCAAATCTATTCAAATGCTTTGGTAACTTGCTGGATGATCAGAATTTTTATGAAAATATATTTTGGCCATCCCTTTAACATCGAGCCAGAAGCTCATCATTTCTCACATCCTCAATTACTACGCAAGTCATGTTCCGTATCTCCATCAACAGATTCTGGATTATTTCTATAGTTTTGTAACTAGTCTATTTCTATCCTTACTTCCTAGTATTATTCTCAGAACACCACCGTATCCTGACTTTACAAGGGTAGAGGTAATTTAGATCTAAAGTCACTCTGGGCTTCAATGATCTAATTCAAGTCCTTGGACTGGCATACTGAGCTTTCCAAGAAGGGCCCTTTCTCTGAATCTTAAACTTCATTTCTGGCTGGGAACCCTTTCATTAGTGCACTCAACTGACTGGACTCCTTGCAGTTGCTGCCCGATCTTTCTGGAATAAACATCCCTCAGATACTACATGGCTCCTTTCTTGCTTCATTCAGGCCTCTGCTGAAACTTCACCCTGTCAGAGAAATGCTTTTTGACCACCTCATTATAAGAGCCACGATGTGCAGTGTTACATGTATCCATAAGCCCTGCTTTACACTTTTCAAGCTTGAATTTATTGCTGCTGACAGTGATTTACACTTATCATCTCTTTCCCAACTAAGTGGAAGCTGCTTGAGTTCAGGGAATGGATCTGTTTTGTCTACTGCTCTATACCCAGAATCCAGAGTGGGCGCTCAGATGCAGTGACTTCTCATCAGTACCTGTTGATCGAAGGTGTGAACATTAGTTATGGACACTGAACTTTATTTGAATTACAAATTTTATGCCAGCAAAATGGACAATTATTCATTCACTACAGGAAGAAAAATTTACTTTTTATACTTGGAGATACGCATTTCAGACTGTTTTTCTATATTATGTAAATCAATTTTAATAATGTTATGTCATAATTTCATAAATCTCAGTTTTAATCTACTTATGAAAGAAAAGTCTCAAAAAATTAAATTAGAAAATGCAGCAAAATAAAATTGTTCAAAAATGTGACTATGGGGGCACCTGGGTGGCTCAGTCAGTTAAGTGTCCGATTGCGACTAGGTCATGATCACACAGTTCATGGGTTCGAGCCCCACCCCGCATCGGGCTCTGTGCTGACAGCTAGCTCAGAGCCTAGAGCCTGCTTCAGATTCTGTGTTTCCTTCTCTCTCTGACCCTCCCCTGCTCATACTCTCTCTCAGAAATAAATAAAACATTAAAAAAATGTAACTGTTTTTATGAATCTTTCATAAGCTAAACAGGAAAAAGATATGTTCCTATTGCTTTAGTGAAGATGTATAGTAAGTAAATATTTACAAAAAATTGATTTATATAACTAAATATTTACTTCCAAGATTAAGCCATTTTGATATACTGTAAAGACTATAGTTGGCACATTTTTCCAATTGTGTTAAAAAGTAACTAAGAATGCCACACATTTTCCCAGATTGACACTTAGACACCATTCTTTTATTGGCACAGATGATATATGTATATAAATAAAACTATATAAAATTCTATGTTTAAATATGAAATATAGGTACAATAACTTAATTATACATGCATATAAAGATTTTAAATATATAGTATACACAATATTGACTCTTATGTACCTCAATTTTACTTTGTAATTTTACTTAATTTCAGACATAAATTTTATTAACTGTTGACGTAAAATATTTTCTATTATTTTCCTTATTACTAACAGCATTCATGTTTGCTCCATTTAAATTAATGTTTGTAAGTCATTAAAGTGTAGTTCTTTTTTAAGAAAAAATAAGTGATAAGATTTTCATTGACTTGCTACTGTATAGAAAAGAGAAACATGGACAAAACAGGAAAAAACAATAAAGGAGTAAAGTTGATAAGAATGTTGTGGGGAATAATCTTAGGGATTCCCCGGCTTATACCAATGGGTTAACAAGGCATAAAGAAGTACAGAACCATAGAATGCTCACACCAGAGTTTGGGTAAATAAGATAAGGCTACCAAAAATAAGGAGGTGCAAAGGCACCACAAAATAGAGAGGGGGTGCAGAGCCCCCAAAATAGAAGAGAGGCAAAGGCCCCCAGTACATAGGTATATGAAATAAATAAGATTAGGCATTCAGGGCAAAGTGCCCCCTAATTTAATACTATAGCGGAAAGCTGCTTTCACAGGAAGGAAGGACCAAATTAGGTAAACAGGTAAATTGGGCTACAGACCCCTGTGCTGCAGGTGAAGCAGCCCAGAGCAGCGATGATTAACAAAAGAAAAGGTGCCTTGTTGACCCTGAGGCTATTTCCCCTGTCTCATCCCCTAGGCTAGCTAAGATAAACAGAGGGGGTGGTGCCTCATGTCCCCTGTAAACAACCTTCAGTCCCACTGTCCAGCATCAGGATTTTGCTATGTATTAACCAAACCCCTAATGTTTAATATCTTCAAGATCCCCTTATCCTCACTCCACAAGTTAATGTTCACAGGTTCATTGTCTCTGTGCATGTCCATCGCCATGTTTGTAAGCCTTCTGATCCTAATAAAAACGGGGCAAGAACCCTTATTCGGGGCGCTTGTCTTTTCCTGGACATTAGCCATCTCTCCCCTTTTCATCCTACTTCTGCTCTCTCACTGGCCAAGAGACAACCTTAGACTTAGAGTCTATGACAGAATGCGACACATATTTTGTAAATGTACTTTGCAATTCAACATAAATGTATAATTTTGCTGAATGAGATCATGTGGTTATATTAATTTGTAGGAAAGGTACAATTTATGTGCAATAGTGGAAATAAAAAGTGATAAATAATCTATATGAAAATTGTTTTATTTACAATATCATTTTTATTGCCATATATATTATTTCTTTGTTAAAACTCAGAGTTCCTGAGCAAATATGGACACAGCAACCTAATTAATGGGAATGACTGTAAAATACTTCTTGCAGGTTAAAATAATTGTAGTTATTAAATATGTATGATATACTGTAGTTTGGGGTAAATAGAACATACTTTGTAAGAGAGGAGAAAACAGTACTAATTTCCATGAGTTTCACTTTTTTTCCTACAACTCATTCTTGAAAATTCCTGTAATTTACTTCACTGATATGGAAACAATCTACACGCCCCAAATATAATTGTGATTTTTCTATTTCTCACATTTCCATAACCCTTCTTCATGGCACTCCCCAACAAAAGACAGATTATAGCCTCCCTAATATTTACAATTGTGCTCTCCCCTTGTACAATTCTCTTCTGTACTAATCCCTTTTATCATTATTATTATTATTTTGAAAGAGAGAGATAGAGAGAGAGAGAGAGAGAGAGAGAAAGAGAGAGAGAGAGAGCTCTCAAGCAGGGGAAGGGCAGAGAGAGAAAAGAGAGAGAATCCCAAGCAGACTCCATGCTATCAGCATGGAGCCTGACATGTGGCTCATTATCATGAACCATGAGATCCTGACCTGAGCAGAAGCCAAGAATCAGTTGCTTAACCAGCTGAGCCACCCAGGAACCCCTAATCTATTTAACATTACTCAATGGCTTCCCATCACCGTCCAGCTTTCCTTCCTCTCCCTCTCCTTTCCCCTTTCCCTCTCATTCTCCCTCCCCTTCCTCCTCTCTATCTCTCATTAATCCTTCTTTTCAGTTACCTCTTTAAAACCTCTTCAAGCCCAGCATTACCCTTACTCATTTCTTCTCTTTCTTAGTAATACTGATTACTGACATAGAGATTCTTCCAGTTTGATATAAACCTTTACCAACAATGTGTGAATTAGATATTTATATAGATGTTTATATTCTCAGAAAACTCATGAGATGGTTAAGACCAGACTTGGTAAGGTTAGAGTTTACTTCTAGATCTTTTTATTTTATTTTATTTTATCTTATTTTATTTTATTTTATTTTAAATGTGTTTCTGTTTGTTTTTTAATTTTGAGAGAGAGAGAAATAAAGTGAGTGAGTGAGCAAGGGAGGGACAGAGAGAAAGGGAGAGAAAGAATCCTAAGCAGACTGCCTGCTGTCAGTGTGAGGAGCCCAATGTGAGGCTTGAACTCACAAACCATAAGATCTTGGTCTGTGCTGAAATGGAGAGTCAGGCACTTAATCAACTGAGCCACCCAGGAACCCCTAGGTCTTATTTTAATTAATCTTTTTGTTTAAGATTATACCAATTAAAAATTAAAGTACAATTAATTTCTGGTAAGAATTTTTTAATAATTAAATTCATAAACCTGACCATTTCAACAACAAAAAATGTCTATCTGTTGAATTGCAGAATACAAGTGCCTGAGGAAGTGAATACTTCAGAGTCACTTTGTCTTTTTATTATTTAAAACACTGATAATTGAAGGAAATTAAAATTTGTCATTTTCAACTTTTAGTCATTTTGTTCTTTAATTATTGTTGGGTGATCGCATGTCCAAAACCTTGTTTATGTACCTTTTTCAATTTGATGACTCCTTCTTGTGTGTCCTCATCTGTGATGATGTCAAACAAATTTCCCCCATCTCCTGGAACAATATTGTATTCAATTTCTGCATTTTGTCCAAAATCAGGATCCACAGCTCTTATTCTTCCAATGGCTGAGCCAATAGGGGAAGACTCGGGAACTTTCAGATGGAAGATACCTGATAAGACATGTACAATTCAAGTTGTCAGTGGAGTTAGTAAAGTGTATAGTTAGATGACTAGGCTTGAGAAATATACTATCTAGAAAGTAAATCAAATTTAGAACATAATAGTGCCAAACTGAAAGGGAATTTGCTGTCAAGTTAAGAATTACGATTAGGAGTAATAACTTCACTTTTTACTTCCATAGGTCCTGCTCTAGAATTTTAATTGGGAATTATAAATAGTAAAGTGTGTTAAACTTAAATTAGTGTGAGGAAGTATTTTACATAATAACAGCTTCAAAGTGTACGTAATATTACATGGAAGGGCAGGAAACTCATGTAATTAATTGGTACCATTAGGGTAGAATCCAGGACACAAGATAGAGATAAAATAAAGATAGATGACACATTGATAGTTAGATATTTATAGAAAGTTAAGGTTATATTTTCAAATATACATAAATATTATATGTTTTTCTTATATATTCCATATGTAGAAAGACAGTATTTACTCAGTAGGTATAAATCATTAAGCTAAAAAGAACCTGTAAAATAGTTAACCAAAATTTTAATCCATGATGGGTTTAAGTATATTATACTATTTACTAATATTCAATTTATGTATAATATTTAGTAAATTTTTCCTGGGTATCCTACAAGCTACTTTCTTACACATATAAAATCAGGATATCAAGTTCTATCTGCTCCACTATTTTTCTTTAGCATAAAAAAAAAAAAATGGAAAAAAGAAATGCTTATTTTTCACCACCAGGTGGAGCAGGTACATTACTGTGAATTTGATACTGATTCAGAAAAGCCTAAAAAAAATTCTATCTATATATCAGAATCGGGAAAATTTGTAATATCCCTTAAAAATGTAAATATATACATTTCTTAAAGGAGTTTTAGAAATTTTGTACATGTAACATGAAAAAGATATAGGCTATTTTACCGACCTGTCATCAAAATAAATATTAAAGGATTAAATGGCAGTCCATTGAATTTAATATAAGGAAAGAAGGAATATGAAAAGAAATATAAATGCAAAAGCAAAACTAAACTCGAAAATACAAAGTTTAAATTTTGATATCTGCTTTCCGGTTTTAATTTCTATTAATGTACTTAAGATTGAACTTACTCATGGCTAAAGAAACCAGGGTAATTCATTCATTTAGAACATCTAGTTGCATTTATAGAAATTAGTTAGGAAGACCTTTAATATGTTTTTTGAATGGTGAAGTTCATTCATCAAATTATAATATTTCAGTATTTGGCTTCAAGATATATGAGGAGAAAGTACTCAATCACACCTTGTAGACATTTTGCCAAATACTTTCCATTTTATTACCAATTATTATTATTATTTTTTGCTTTGTAGTTCTTTCACAGTTTCAAAATGGGGTGATTTCATTATCCCTGGTAGCGTTAAATCTTGTCATCTACCTCTCACCTCCCATACCGAAATAGATATCCACCACTTGCACATATAGTGTTAAAATTAGCCTTATTTACATTCAATGGACATTATCTCATTGAAACATACAATTAATATTAAAAGATCTAAATATTTACCTAAATTTGGTTGATTCCACGTAAAACAAAGTAGATTTTTATAGTGGTCCAAAAATAGTTGTTCAATTAATTTGATAATTAATTAACAGTATACCTGCCTTCGACAGGGAATATGTCAAATCTTTCTAAAAGAGCACATTTAAGAGTTAAATAACTAAATAAACAAATCAGAACACAGGCAAGTAATAATAATAATCCAAGTGGTAATAATAGAGTGTTACATAGACATTACGAAAGGATTTGAGTTAAAGAAGTCATATTACGTGATCAAGCTAGCAACTTCTCAAAGGTTAAGATTATGTTTCATAGATTTTATTCCCTAAACACTTCACACAGTGGCTGTCTTAGAGAGATGCTCAAAGTTTGCAGGATTTAAAGTAGGTTTGGACTTGAGGCAAAGAGGAAGGATAAAATCACAGGTTACAATGTATACACATTGTCTAAGAAAAAAGTAAAGACAGGTATCCAAGTGAAAATGAGTTCAAATAGCCATGGCTGGATAGGCAGCACCTAATGTGACTTTTGCAGCCTACGTTTTAGAGAGTTGTTAATTGTTTCACAATAGCCTAACGCCTGATTGTATTGAAACACTTCTGAGCTACTAAAAAAGATGAGGATGCCTGAATTCCTGTTTAACATGGCAAGAAAGCCTGCAACAGTTATTTAAAGTTGTACTAAACTTCTCATATATGTGCTATTTTTTATTTTCTTTTTTTCTTCCCTTCTTAATGCCTATTAAGGAGAAGTATCATTTGTCAGAAACATGTCCACAACCTTTTCGGTTTGAGTGATTGTGACAAAGAACCTGAAGAAACACCAAAAGCTTTGAATCTATATTAGAATTAGTCATAGTTCAATGTCATGGTACATTGATAAATGCTAAGAAAGGTCTTGACATTTTTTTCTGATAAGATAGAGTAATGGAGGTCTATGCCTAATAATGTACTGTACATCCTCCTCTCACATGATGTTTAATTAGGAAACAAGACAAAAAAAAAACGTTATCAAAGACACAGCTGACAGACAGAGATTGAGTATGGTAGGCAGATGCCACATACATTGGATTTCAAACCTCAAACATGGCCAGCAGTGCAAGGTGGTGATGGTGGTGGAGACGGAGGTAGGGAGAGGTTGGATGGGATATTTAGGAAAATACGGACATCTAACTTAAAGCATTTATAACATTTCTGCTTACTCCATCTAATCCACTCAATAGGAACAAGTTCAGATACATATTTGTTTTATGAGTTAGATTTCATTTGAACAACTAAAAGCAAAATTAAAATAATTTTAAAAATCAAGGGAAAGAATCTAGTCTGGCATCATCATTAAGAGATTACGGTTAGTGAAGGGGAATAAGTTTGGCCAGCATTGATACCCTCCAAAGTGAGAAGAATTTTTAGATCTGAATGGTAACCTGAAGGACATCAGATAATGCAGACTTTAAATGAGAGTTCCCCTTTTTAAGACACTATGTTAAGATAATGAATTTTGTGTTTTATAAAAGGACATTTTATGAAACCTATAACAGTAAATGTGAAGACGGCTATTCCATGTAGTATTATGTCAATAGTAAGTTAAGTAACAGTTTCTTAAAGAGTGGTCAGCATATAGTATGCTTACAAATTTTATAATTATCTAATGGGATTGGAAAACTTGTAATAAATTGAAATAGGAGCATTCTCCATAAAAGCTTGACTCCATAGTAGTCCCTAACATGCCCCACCAAATTGAGATATAAATAATAGAAATGAAACAGTGATTTACCATGTGCATCTTTTTTGTGTATTGGGATTTTAGTGTACACAAAATACAAATACACAGAGCACTGCATTTTCTGTTCTTTGGGATGGCACATTTTAGTAAGGTGGAAGACATATTCATTAAAACAAGCATTTCTAAATAAAATACCGTAGTTAGTAATAAAGTCTACAGAATATGGAACAAGTCAGAGAAACTATGCATTAGTCATGTCACTATTTTTTTAGGCTCTGTCAGTTTATTTCCAGTGACTTGACATTTTATCATTTCTAGAAACTAGACAGCAAATAAAGCTGGGGTCATTCAGATTAATTCAAAACTGAAGTAATCTTCAGCTGTGCCAAAGTTGGATCGCTTCTGATGTAGTATGTAATTACAGTGCCACCAACTTCTGCATGTCCTACTTTTGATGCATATGAAACATCTTAATGGCACTACCTGTACAAGACAGATTAAGAAATAAAACAGGTGACAAGAAACTGTTTAGAGTCAATAAGAATATATGCATACATACTCATCAAATATACACGCTATGCTTAAAAGAAAAAGAAAAACATGTTCCCATGGAAAATGAGAAAATTGTATATAGTGAACTAAGATGAAATTATAGTGATCAAATTCTAAAACTTCTTACAGATAATGCTCCCTAGTGAGTATCTATCACTCAATTATAGGCTAAATGAGTATCCTTTCAGGAACTATGTGGTTTAAGAAAATGTACTTTGGGGTACCTGGGTGGCTCAGTTAGTTAAGAATGTGGCTCTGGCTCAGGCCATGATCTCATGGTTTGTGGGTTCCCCCACATCGGGTTCTGTGCTGATAGCTCAGAGCCTGGAGCCTGCTTTGGATTCTGTCTCCTCCCCAACTCATGCTCTTTCTCTTTCTCAAAAATAAATAAACATTAAAGAATTTAAAATATTAAATTAAATTTAAAAGCATGCTTTGATAATTGGGACTGACACTGGGTTTGTGTATATGTAAGGGAACATTCACTGATACCTAAGGAAAAATGATATACACTATATTTTTCTTCTTTGTATTCTCTGGAACATTTCCAAGCATCAATGAATATACCAAAAGAGATATATTTACTTAACAAAGCATAAAATAATATGTTATAAGCTACTCAGAAATAAAAGCTTTAGGACCTGAAAAAATATATTAAGTGAATGAATGAACTATATAATAATGTGACAACATTCATTAATAAAAATAGCAAGTAAAAAGAAAATAGAATAATCCACTATAAATTCTCTTTTGAAATACATTTTATTTTATATTTACTATAAACTAAAGTTAATCAAAAATAATATGTAAGAAGTCAATGTTCAGCTGCACAGAAAACTTACTATACTGAGGAATATGAAAACATATTATTTGAGACCTTGTAAGCAGATGATTGTATGAAATACTACATGTATGTTTCAACTTTGAAAATAATGTATATTACCACAAAACTCTTGATTAAGTGATTCAATTCAAACATTTAATTGTTCAAATAATGATCTCACATGTTTGTGTGTATGTGATTTACCATCTAATCACATAAAAATAATATGTTTCTTTATCAATATTCTATTGTTTTAATTTCTTAAGCAAGTATATAAGAGCACACAAAATAATTCCATCTTATCTAAAGAAAATAAAAAGGAAATGGAAGCAAACAACATATTTATATCAGG